TGTAAATATACAACAAGGAACAGCCACAGGAAAGAGGGAAGTATAAAGGAATGGATTTGGGAGGGGAATAGGAGGAAACAGATAATATGATGTGGAAAACAACAAGGAGAGGACTTCAATGGGGAGGAGGAGGAGGAAAGTCAGTACAGAAGGAGGAGTGATAACTAACACCAAGAGGATCTGATAAGGAATCTCTCTCTCTCTCTCTCTCTCTCTCTCTCTCTCTCTCTCTCTCTCTCTCTCACACACACACACACACACACGTAATACACTTAAGCATGTACACAAACAGAGAGAGAGAGAGAGACAGAGACAGAGAGACAGAGAGAGGGGGGAGAGAGAGAGAGAGAGAGAGAGAGAGAGAGAGAGAGAGAGAGAGATCTTAAAGGAAATTAAGTTGAGCAACTTGGACCAACAAGTAGCTCCTCACAAGAACCAACTACCAACAAAACCCCCAGCACTAGATACCAGAAACAACTGAAGGAGGGTTTAGTCAGGATTATCCAAATGACTCCCATCTTAATTTGAGTTTCATTGCTGTGAAGAGACACCATGACCAAGGCAACTCTTATAAAGAACATTGAATTCGAGCTGGCTTACAGCTTCAGAGGTTCAGTCCATTATCATCATGGCAGGAAGCATGACAGCATGCAGGCAGAAATGGTGCCAGAGAAGGAGTTGAGCATTATATGTCTTCATCTGAAGGCAATCAGAAAAAGGCTCTCTTTTGCAGGCAGTAAGGAGAAGAAGGGGGGTCTCTTTTGCATGGGCAGAACTTGAACACTAGGAGACCAGAAAGCAGAACTACTCAGTGATGCACTTCCTCCAACAAGGCCACACCTCCTAATAGTGCCACTTCTATTTAAATCACCACAACTACAAGGCAATACACTGTAGGTCTTGGTTGCTTCTCAGGGATTGAAGTGGGCCTGTTTTTCTGAAGAAACCACAAACTGTGGACACATGACCTGGATGACTTTAGCTGGATCTGACCTGTAAGCTTTTGCTCTGTGGTCTAGCATTCATAATTCCAGAAAATACTATGAAAACTATCAAGGGAAGGAATCAATTAAACACTCCTATCTATCTTCAACAGCTATGAAACATAACAAATTACCATCATGGCTAGGTAGGCATGAGGGTGCAAAAAGTGGCAACCAACAGCTATCTTAATAGAAATAAAGCCTACTCAAAATAAAAAAAATAAATTGGGAAATCATGTAAGAGGTTGGTCTGGTGCTGCTTGTATTCAAATGCTAAATTCTGTACCCCAAGATCTGGTTGCTCCAAGACAGGCAGATCCTCACAGACCAGCTTTTGTTATGTAAACCTTACTTCCCAAGTTATGCATAATTGGTTAATAAAAATGCCCACAGCCTGGGCTGGCCAGAAGAGAGGGGTCAGAGCAAAGGTTCCTGGGTGTGGGCTCTCAGGCTGAGACTAGGAGGAAAGAGGAAGAAGGATGATGAAGTTGTCATGGGATAAGTGGATGGTGAGCGCATGGCCCTGAGGGCCAACCTGTTGGAGTAGGAGCAGTCCAGGCAGACCGTGACAAGTGATAACTTGGGGTTATTGACAGAGAAGTAGACAAAATAGCATAGAGAGTTGATATCTGCCCAACTCTAATGCTTTAAGGTTAATTATAAATATAAAGGTTCTGTGTCTTTTAATTGGTAACTATATGGTCTAAGTGAGCTAACCCTTCCCCCCCCCCCCCCAATAATATTTACCACTACAAAATCATGCCTGGTACTGGAAACCTAGCCAGTTTCCAGAGGCTAGTCAAGTCATGGATCTTGGAAAAGAATCTACTACTGACACTTTGCTAGATCAGCATAATCCATCACTGCATTCTAAAATCTTATCCTTACATCTACAGGTAAGTGTGACTACTACACCTCCTTGAAGCTTTTCCTTACAGAAAATGGAAGCCATCACAGAAAAACACAACTGGACATAATGCAGAGATCAATGGATCATGGCGAGCCAGTCTCAGTGGATGTAGCTACACCACAGCTCCTGCATCTTGGGCCAAGGGAATACTGTGGAAGAGAGGGCATAAAGAGTGGAAGACCCTGAATTTCAGATGTCTGCTGTGAAGCACTGTTCTATAAATGTCTGTGTAAACAAGATAGGAACAACAGCAAAAAAATCAATGGACCTATTAATGTAGAAGAAATAAAATCACAGGGTCCTACACCTAGGCAAAAATCTACCAGCAACAATTGACTTCTGGGAGAAGGAGACTTAGCCTCTCCCAGAGATGAGCTTTCTTCTTCCTATTGGTTGTCTGATGCTGAGTCCTTGGCAGCCTCGAAATCGTATATACACAAATAGCAAAAATGGACTCAGTGGGTTATAAATAAATTGGATATATTTGTGCACACACAGAATATGTAACAAATACAATAAAAGAAAATGAGCCTAGCAATTTAAGATTGAAGATACATGGCAGAAGGTTGAGGGAGGGTAACTGGGGTATGGGAAGGGAAAAAAGGGACAGATAAGTGGTGCAAATCTATTTCAATTAAAATATTTTTAAAATAAAATAACTATTTAATTTCCACAATTAAAAAACTATATAATGAACTTATACCTACCTTATGTCCAACCTCCTTGTGACATATCTGTGACTAAAGATTCCTTTGGTCAATGTTTATTTTCTGACCAGTGTTCTCCAGCCTTCACCATGTGCCAAAGCTAAACAAACAAACCAAAAAACCCCTCAGCTTTGGATTTAAATGGGAGTATATCAGCACATACATAGCCTAGGATCTAAGCTTAGTTACAGATTAAGAAGCTGCAAACCCTACAACTGCACATGTACAGCCTCTCCAGAGGTACTGGGGTATGCTTCTCTTCTAATATCTGCCTCTTTCCCAAGTGTGTCTTTTGAGTTAATCAATAAATTCACCAACTTTGCTTCACCCCGAATCATCCTTACATCACCTTGTGGTATCCTTGAGGACTGGGTACACCTTAGTAGCCTCCTCAAGCTTTGGGGAGGAATCCTCAGACGTTGAGCTGTAGTTTATGATGATAATGACAAGAACGGGGTCTTGACTTTTGACCTCACTTAACATAAGGATCTCTAATGAGCCTTAATTCTCATTTTCAAAACAAAGAAACCATATTGGGAATCAGGGCTTTAACTTATGAATTTTGGTGTTGGGGGGGCATCCAGTTCAGTTCAGAAGAGATGAATTGTTATTATTTCTACCTGTCTTTCCACAGCTTAGAAATGAAGCTTTGAGTTTGTGCCTAAACACTGTGGCGATACAGACACACACACACACACACACACACACACACACACACACGGTATGTTCTCAATTATAAGAAGATATTAGCTATAAAGTAAAAGACAATCATGCTATGGTTCATGGACCCAGAGAGGCTAAGTAACAAGGAGGGCTTAATTGGGGAAGCAAGGAACTCCCTGGAAAGGGCAAATAGAATAAGTTTTGCTGGTGGACTAGGGTAGGTGGGGTTGGGAACAGGAAGAATCAGGTAGTGGGGGGGGGGGATAGTGAGAAAAACAAATGGAATTGGGGGACAGTTGGAAACCTACTGCAATGGATACTCCTGGCAAAGACCTCTAGTAAGGGAGGCATACACAAAGCCTGAATGAGTCATCTTCTGTAACCAGGAAAGGCCTCAAGCAGAGGGATTAGGACACTAATCCAGCCACAGAACCTTCAAGCTACAGTTTGTACTGCCTGTCGAGTGTTCTGGGACTGGAGCCTAGCAGAATCATAATCAAAGAGACCAGAGAGACTCCATCCAGCAACTAATGGGAACAGATGCAATGTCCCACAGCCAAATATTAGGTGGAGCTCGCGAGCCCTTGGGAGGAGGAAGGATTGGAGGAACTAGAGGGGTTCGGAACACTAAGAGAACTGAGAACATTGTCCACAGAATCAACAGGCTGGGACTCACAGGGGCTTGCCAAGATCAAGGAGCCTGTAGGGGTCTAACCAAGGTCTTCTGCACACAAATTATGGCTGAGTAGCTTGTTGTCCTTGTGGGAATTTTAGCAGGGGGAGGAGGGATGAGGGCTGTCCCTGACTGTTTTACCTACTTGTGGGGCCCCTTTCCTCCTACTGGATTGCCTAGTCCAACCTCCATGTGGTCTTTGTGCCTGTCTTAGTGTAACTTGTTATGCAGATTGGTTGATGTCACTGAGAGGCTGCTCTTTTCTGAGGGAAAGTGGAGGGGAGAGACTCTGGGAAGACAGAAGGGAAGGGAAACTGGACCCTGGATGTAATATGATGTAATATATGAGAGAAGGAAAACAACAACAACAGCAACAACAACAAACCCAAAAACAAACAAACAAAAAAAACAACTCCAAATAATTTGACCTCATCTTTAAAAAAATGTTCATTTTCCTTAGCAATTCGGGTAATGCAAATCAAAATAACTTTGAGATTTCATCTTACAGTCAGAACATCATAGATCAACAAAATAAATGACAACAAATGCTGCAGATGTAGGGGACAGAGAAGATTGGTGGGCTGGCTCTGCAGTCATCAAAGACTTTAATAAAGAAGACCTGAATATTTTCCTAGGGCATGTATGTGTGTGCTCGCGAACGTGCGTCCACTTGTGTGTGTGTGTGTGTGTGTGTGTGTGTGTGTATGCTGTGGAGGTGCTTCCTTAGGTGCTTGTCCTGCCACCTGAACCCACACTTCAGGGCTAAATGTAAACTTTCACCACTCTAATCCAGGAAAGATCTGATTTTCGGCTGACCGTTCCATCCTTGAATGCTTTTTCCGTCGCTCTACAAGAAAATTGGAAGCGAGAACGCAGTCTAGACCAGACATATACAACATGGCGACTGCGCACTTATTGAGGGCTTCGGTCGCCATAGTAACCAGACCACGCCTGCCTGGGTGGGCGTGCTAAGAAATCGTGTGCGGTTTCCACCCCGCCTAGCTTTTGCGACAGTTGCAGTGACGTCACGACAGTTGAGGCGGGTGTCAGCTGATTTACGGCAGTTGAGGCCGGTGTCAGCTGATTTACTGCAGCAGTGGCGGCTGTGGATCCTTGCAACCCAGGCGGGGTGAGGGCGGCTGCATCGGCGTGGGGTCCTTCGGGTTCGCCCACCAGGACTTGCCCGGCTGGTCCTCCTTGTGTACGCCGCCTCCTTTGCCTCCTTTGCGGGGACGCGCACAGCATCTCCTACAGACATGATTATCGCCTGAGGTGAAGATTTGACAGGTGAGAGCTTTGGAGCCTCCTTGTGAAAGCCCAGCTTTAGAACTTAGCCTCGGAAGGCAGCGGTTAAAGGTCAAGGGTCACGAGCCCTCCTTAGCTGGAGACCAGCCAGCTGTCAGATTGTTCGGGTAGGCTGCTGCTCTGTTTGGTGCTTTAGCTTCAGACCACCTCCAGGAGCCTTTTTCTGAAGCGTTGGGGTCCATCAGGGTCCCTCTGGGGCCGGGTGACATTTGCTGCTTGTGAAAGTGGCCTTAGTCTTTAGGTGTGACTGCTTTGTACCCAGGGATTATCTGTTTGCTCCCAGGGTCGGGTGACTAGTGATGATCGTGGGTGTTTATTGGTAATGTTCTTGCACTGGGGCCCCAATGTTCGGACTTATGTTCCCCTATTGGTTCTATTCTTTAGTTGGTATTACTGGCTAAGGGGCGACTGTCTGTTAGAGGATCATCTTTGAGCTGTCACTTGCCCGCTGTCCTTTAGGACTTGCTCTGACAGGATGTCTGCTATTTTTCTAACTGATGAATCCTGGCATTCCGAAACTATGCTCGCAGCCAGAGCTATCCTGCCTTCGATTTTTAAATTATACTGTTTTTAATCCACATGCAGTGTCTGCACCTTAGATCCTGTGCAGAATTCTCTGGTTTGTATATTCTAGAACTCTTGCTGGTTCAGGTGCATCACAGACTACATCCGTGTTTTCTTGCTGTTGACTTTAGCGCTTAGTCAGTACCAGCTATATATTTCTTTTCTTTTTTTTTTTTTTTGGTTTTTCGAGACAGGGTTTCTCTGAGTAGCCCTGGCTGTCCTGGAACTCACTCTGTAGACCAGGCTAGCCTCGAACTCTCGAACTCAGAAATCCGCCTGCCTCTGCCTCCCAAGTGCTGGGATTAAAGGCGTGCGCCACCACCGCCCGGCCATATTTCTTTTCTTGTAATATTTCTCATGGGACAAAAACTCTAATTCTTTTCCTCCCTCCCTCCCTCCCT